ACTCATTCTCTCTTTGCCTGGGGTTTGTATATTTTGTTTTTAATAATCTTTAATCCTGATTTTAATATTTTTATAATGATTGTTTTATATATGTGTTGTTTCTATCTGATCGTTGTACGCCGCCCAGAGTCACTTTTTGTGAGATGGGTGGCCATATAAATTTGATAAATAAATAAAGCAAGGCTTTATCCCATATATTCACCCACAGGCATTCAAGCCCACCTACTACATATTAAGAACACCAGGTGGGAAGGGAAACATAACTAGGAGAATCCACCAATTGCTGCCCTTAAATTGTCCCTCAATAAAACTTCAAGGATAGCATCAGTATTATTACTAAGGCTAAATAGAGCTTGGTTGTCAGGCTGTTGCAAATTATCCTGACATGCTTTTCTGCTGACACAAGGATGGGAGGAATGCATGTTAATGCAGCTATGAGGAAGAACCTCACAGTATGTTAAGCGCCTAAAACTGAGCCCTCTCAGTATAGCTGAGAAATCAAGCTTTGAGCCTTGGGCAGGGAATACCCTCCAACAGGAATTTGCATTCAGTGCTTTAGCCTTCTCTCTCTCACCTAATTATCTATTTGCTTTGTTTGAAGAACTGGCTTTTGTGCCTATGCCTTTTGCAACACTTAATGTGCAAACATTAGCAGGTGAATAGAATGCTTCTATCCATTCCATTAGAATGTTCACCCACTGTTTTATTCAAAATAATCTTCTGTTGAAGCTATGCATGTAGGCCAAGTTATTTTTTTTCCAACCAACTGGCAACCTAGTTCTGAATTAGGTGATGGATTTCAGAGTTCATAGAAAATCCTTCAGGTTGAAATCTGGTGATCACATGGTTTTATAGCAAGATAAAGGGTGCATTAAGACAATATATTGAACCACAGACTGGTCATAGTTCCAAATGTTCTTGTTTGTGGCTAGTTAAGATACCATGCTAGGACTACTGGATCTAGATTGCAAAAACTGAGACCACCAGTAGATTGCAGCAAAAAAAGTTATTCTATCTCTTTGCTCTCATCTAGTGGGTGTCTGGATTTTTGCAGCCCAGATCTGGTAACCCTATTTAATATGTCATGCAAATCCAGCAAAATGTTAAGTTAAACCTTAAGCTTGCAAGTGGACATGGCCAAAGAAATGCAGTTACAAATATGTTTGTTAACTAATGTGCTCCAGAAGATGGGGATGAAATGGCTGTTCATCTTCTGCTGAAGAAATGAGGATATGAGTCTCAGCAATCTCGAAGCAAATGAAAACATCAAATAACAGGATTGTCTACATTTGATTGTTAAGAAACAAACACTGGAAGGCCAGAGAACTATGCAGGCTGATAATATATCATTTGAGCTCTGACTTCAGTTCCTGGGATTCAGTGATAATCCTTGTGGTTGTTGTTATTTTGTGTGTGTGTGTGTGTGTGTGTGTGTGT